GGACATGGTCTCCGTCTCCTCTGCGTCACATCTGTCACAGACAACACTCAAAGTGGAAGCCAGGCCTTCTCTCTTGGTCTCCTTGAGGGTGACATTGCTATGACAGGCATTACAAGAGACACCTTTTTGCAGCAGGCTCTGAAGACACTCCAAGTCGATCAGCCGATATCCGGTGGTCGCTGCTTCATCATCCTGGCTGTCAGTGTCGGATCCTGGCTCAGATTCGCTGCTCTCTTCGGCGGACTCGCTGTCGTCTGTGCTGTGATGGTCTGACCCGGAATTTGAACTGTCTGACGAATTTTCAAATAAATCTGGGAATACATTCTCTATGGGATTGTCGGCTGCCAACTCAGGCGCAGGATGAGGGCATTTCTCTGGCTCAGGCTCGCGGGGCTTCCTGCCATGAAATATCCGTTTCTTTGGACGTCCAGGACGGCCGCTACACTGTTTCCTTCCCATCGCAACACCACAAATAACCTCAACATCGAACAAATCAGAACGAAATATTTCGATTTGAATTTTGTCAGATGCGCGTATGGATGTACTGCTGCATGAGTGGTCCGTGCCATGCGCAGATATCTCCAAACTAACCAGAAACCCCATGGGACAAATCCTGTGAAATTTGAGAACGGTGCTCTAAACCTGGACGAAGTTATGAATATTATACGTTTTTGATGAAATACTGCAATTTATATTTGAATTTGCAATTGAGTTTCGTTGTGCACTACCTCTTTGAGCGCCTGTATCTCTGGAGTGCGTGCATGGAATTAGCTCAAATTTTCTCAGCTGTCGGCTGGGTCCTATGGCAAACGTTTGAGACCATAATCGACACCTATTTCAAAAATTCATTTTTTGACCCTCTGAAGGCAGAGTGCCACCTTAAAAGGTCTTCTTCATGTAGCTTTTCATTCTGTGTGTGATTATTGTGAGGTTTTGTGTGAAATTTTAATTTTCAGCTATCACATTTCGTTAATTCTTACTTTTTAGACGGGGTCCATGGACTAGAACACAATAACTTTTTTTAGAAAACTGCCATAAAGCAGTTTTTATTGCTATAATTTCTTTTGTTTTTTCTGTCACCAATCATATCAATGGAATGCCCTACAACTTGTATATCAATATGTAAATGATGGCCTTCACATCGTATCAATACCGTATTATACGCATTGATGTGCAAGCCTTTTCTTGCAGAAAATGGCACTAGCATAATGCATGCCCACGCTAAAGCTGGTTTTTCTCGTCTTGGCTACATAGGTTCTGATCGGTGGAATATGCTGCCTTCCACTGTTCGCTCTTGTACAGAATATCGCCCATTTGTTCGTTCATGCTTAACCTTTCTAGGGGCTCCCGTAAGAAGACCATAGGTCTGTGGGAAACACCCTAGTAAAATAAATAAAATAATAATAATAATAATGTTCTTCTGCGGGGAAACATGTGAGTAGTGGTGGACCGTGGTGATACTTTTTTTTTATACAGAGGTCATTCTGTGCATGTTGCTGTAGCAGAATTTCATGACTCATAAAATTGTCTTGCCTTTCAGATATTTCAGATTTCCCCACCCTCGATCAGATTTATTTGTGAAATGTAACCAGGTGCGTGTCGCAGATGTTTTTGTTGATTCTGTGTTTATAATGGTTTATAATCATGGGTTATCGTGATAAGGTCATCCTGCATCATATTGCACTGAAATCGTAATCCTGTTGATGTCGATACAACTTTTGGAAGTAGTTCAATGACTTCAAACTGTTAGTCCACGATTTTCTAAAACAACACAGCAGAGGAGGAACAATAAACATGTATTAAAATGTAAACAAATACATTGTTGAGTCCAACACCTCATTCCAACAACTACACTGATCCTGAGGATAAAAGGGGCAAGGCTATGGTTGGAGGTACTGAGAGATAAACAAGGCACTCCATAATAATAAAATCTTACACATCTTCTGGTGAGTGTGAATGATATCCAGTCGAACCTCTTTAGGACGAACACCAAGGGACCGATGGTATTTCTTCTGTGAGTTTGTCTTAACCTATTTTATAACCAGTGAATACAATTATTTCTCCAATAGACATATGAATAGATTTCTTCTACAGCGAAAGATTCTAAGCCACACCAACTCATTGACTCGTCTCGTATGAAACAAAATAAAGAGTCACTAGAGAGGTTCTGCAAAACGAAAATGCGTACAAACTTTCGTTCCACGTCATGAAGTGCGAAACTTCGCACGAACTTTCGCAACTCTGGACGCGAAACTTGCAGGGAACGCGAAATGAACAGTCGTACACACTTTCGTGAGATCGGGTCATGGCGTACGTGCACTTGGCCCGCGCAAACTACGAAAATGTGCAGAACGCAATGTTCGTGCAAAAATTCGTACACACTTTCGCAAAGACTGTCGCGAAACTTCGTTCGAATTTTCGTTTTGCAGAACCTCTCTACTGAACGCTTCTTTAGCAACATGACGGCAACTGAAACAGCAACAGAGAAAGTACGATACATGTACAGCACATTCTTGCAGGTACTACAAACAGATTGCAGATCGTAATTCTTGCTTTGGCGGCACGAAACTTTATTTGGGGCAGTGCAATCTCGGTGGTACTCACAAATAATAAATCAAACAGCCCAGACTCGAGGAAACAAATCCAATCATACAAGTACGAGATCTTCACGAGACGAGACTGCACCCATTGGCTTGTTTCGTATGAAGCAAACAAGTTTACTGAACCTCTCCACAATGGAGATTTTCCCTGATATGCAAATTTATTTTGCAAACTCGGTCAATGGGTCCTTGAACCTTTCCCTTCAGATTGGGAACTGCCAACGATAGTATGCCACTGACCAGTGCCTTACTTGTAATGTACCAATGTACAATGAATATGAGTATTTCGACAACACATTTAACATAAGCCTTATCGTCAAGAAGGTGAACTCGCGTTCTTCGCACACTGTAGACAAGGGCAAAGAGATAAAAATGGATCTAAATCCGAATAAAATCAGCACACGTTTCCGTAAATGAAAGGGTGAGCATAAGCAAATGAATCGAAGGAAACCGGTCAACTCAGAGATCACCTGTCATCGAGTATTCCGTAAAAGGAGGCCTCGGCAGCGGAAAAGCTAAATTTAGAAAAGAGATCCTGTCAGCTTTTCCATTATTTATTGCATTCCGCCCAAAATCAGCACACTTTTCGTAAATGAAAGAGTCAGCACAAGCAAATGAATCAAAGGGAACTGGTCAACTCACCTGTCATTGAGTAATATTCCGCGAAAGGAGGTCTCAGCAGCGCCGAAACGAAATAAGCCAGGCCAGGAGACGAAATATCCGAAACAGCTCATACAAGAAGCAGTTCCAAAGGAGAAAGTAATATAAATTCATTACCCATATAAAAACCGCTCCGTGAGCGGTTCTGAAAAACCTCTACTGGTGCAGCCCCGTCGTAAAAGTAAGAAATTAGAACTGGTGCATTGTCCTCCCAAATGTGAACTGATCCACCTAAATCGCGATTGACGGGACCCGAACGCACCAGTAGCACGAGGTTCCTACCCAATACCTGTGGATGCAGCTGGGGACGCTGGTCCATAGCCAAAGCCAAAGCGGCAAAGGTGGGCTTCGGGGTAGATCTAAGTGTTGTATGGTAACTAGTTACTTGATCAGCGCCGACGCCGGCTGTGATCCTGTGCCCTCCCGACCTCGTGCTACTGGTGCGTTCGGGTCCCGTCAATCGCGATTTAGGTGGATCAGTTCACATTTGGGAGGACAATGCACCAGTTCTAATTTCTTACTTTTACGACGGGGCTGCACCAGTAGAGGTTTTTCAGAACCGCTCACGGAGCGGTTTTTATATGGGTAATTTCAGTTCTTTTTCTGTTCCCTCCCCCACCCTAGCCCAACTCCGAAGATAAACATGGTGAGCACGCGCAAGATGCACTGTATGTAGCCATGCAACTGCAGTAGCCCACTGATACATTCCAGCCCTCCCCACCTCGCTACCCCGCACACAGACACCTTGTGACAAACACGCACATGCACATGGCACACACACACATGGGCACGCACACACATACATACACACACACGACCCAAACAGGAAATTCTTGATGAACATTGTATAATGCCATGCAAAGCAGTGGCCACCATACTTCAGGAAGTCAGTTGTGAAACAAAAATAATTCAACTACAATGTGTAGGTAAGCTGGCGGCCAAAGCACAACATTGCAAACCGTGATGATATTTGCCTAAGGATTGCAGTTTGCAGACCACACCATGGAAGCAGTGAATACAGAATTATTGTGATGTCATACAAAGACAAGCAAAGAAGTGGCCACCATACACCAGAAACTTGCAGAAAGTCACATACATGTATCCAACAGATAGAGAAGTGAACAGCATCTGGTACAGCCCACACAAAACCAAGCTGACCTGATACTCGTCCGAAGATCGTAAGTGGCAGATCCTTTTCAACGATAGCATGCAGGTGTACGTTACACGCATGGACAAAATCTGACCGTGTCACCGGCATACATTGTCATCACATGCATACCCCACAAGTTACACACATGCACAGTAGAAGCACAATAAAAGCAATGGAAAAATATGAAGGGGTTGATGAAGCATCTTCACACTTCAATTTCAGACTTCGATGTGGTCGTCACGGGGTGATATACCTGCAAGATACAAGTGATACAGAAAGAAAGCATAAGGTCGTGAGGTAGGCTATGAGACACCACGAATGGGTCACCTACATGTATGTTCAGGGCTGGTGTACACACACACGCAGAATTATCATAATCGAGAATTTCCCAAACTACTGAAGAGCAATGAAATCCATTTGCGTGCACAGGAGCAATTTCGCAGTATGATGCGCAGCTCGGGAATACACCTGTTGGCAATGGATTACATTCCCATTGGAATTCCCATTCACGTGGGATTCACAGAAGCAATTTGGCAGTGTGCTGCGCAATGCGACACGACACGGGGTGATATACCTGCAAGATACAAGTGATACAGAAAGAAAGCATAAGGTCGTGAGGTAGGCTATGAGACACCACGAATGGGTCACCTACATGTATGTTCAGGGCTGGTGTACACACACACGCAGAATTATCATAATCGAGAATTTCCCAAACTACTGAAGAGCAATGAAATCCATTTGCGTGCACAGGAGCAATTTCGCAGTATGATGCGCAGCTCGGGAATACACCTGTTGGCAATGGATTACATTCCCATTGGAATTCCCATTCACGTGGGATTCACAGAAGCAATTTGGCAGTGTGCTGCGCAATGCGACACGACCTGCGATTCTGCGTGCGATGCAAACTCGCACAAAATACCATTCACAGAATCACGACAAGACGTCAGCGATGCAAAGCGACTTGCCGACGTGCCTCAAGTCAAAGCTCAATGAGAATGCGTTTGTCGGTTACAACTGGTACAAATGTACAAGCAATTTCTGAACTCTCCTGTGAATCCTGCTTTAAGCAGTGCAGGAATGTCCCTCCTCCGGTCCCCCCCCCCCCTCCACACCCTCAGGGAACTTGACAAGGAAGGGTGGTCTTCGCGGTTCCCAACATCTATTTGCAGTTTCTGGTCTCCACTATGTCTTTTCAATGGGGATTTGTACGTACCATAAAAGCAAGCCTAAAAAATGAACAGCATATTTGCCGTTCCCCCACTGGGGAGGATGCGTTCCACAGCTATCCTGACAAGATATTCCGAGAAGCGGTGCTGAGTGCAATGCATTGTGAAACTGAAAAAGCTGACCAAGCCGCGGCATATAACGTCTAAACTTCAATTGTAGTTCGCCAGCTGACTACTTTCAAACTCCATGTAGGTTGGAGTACAGCTGGCTTAGAAGTTGACAACAACGGCGCACGCACATAAGCAATGGCCACCTTACCTGTACTGTAGCAGTACTTCCGAGTTCCCGTATGGGAGTTCCCTCACTGTGTGTGCAATAGCAGCCTCATCGGACCAGTTCAATGCGACGCGGACAGTCCGACACTGAGGAGGACATTGAAGAAGTCAGAGACAGGAAGAATGGTTGATTTACAATTCAACTAGCAAGGCTGCACACCCACGAAGTTCCACTCACCATTGTGCCGTCCTTCTTGGAATGCAGAAATAACGCTTCCTCTCGAGAACGCAGCCTGTGACAGAGAAAAAGGAAGGAGCATCGCCATCGGCATTGGTCCTCTGCTATCACCGATTGCCGAGTTGCACAGTTCACTCTAACAAGACTGAGGATGTTCAAGAACTCCCCATCCATACCATTATTGGAGTAAGAGGAAAGGTCAGATTGCCTAGTTCCTAGGGCCTAGCATTCCTGGATGCCAGGATGTGCTGCCCCCCCCCCCTCCCTTCTACTGCCTGGAAAGGGCAACATATGTGACAGCGTTCACCAGTACAGTCGGAGGAGAACATGGGAGAAGGCAAAAAAGGGCAACACACATGAATCCCTTATAAACAAGCAGTGGCAACTCTAGCACCAGCAATGTTGGACTTACATCCCAGCCATTGCCGCCGGATTCAGCGGCTTCTTCTTCTTCGTCTCCCATCTTGGAAGCACTCCTTCCCGTAAGTTCAGTCCTGGGATCGGGAGTACAGTCGGAGGAGGACGTCGGAAAAGGCAAAAAGGCAACACACATGATTCCCTTATAAGCAAGCAGTGGCAACTCTGGCACCAGCAATGTTGGACTTACATCCCAGCCATTGCCGCCGGATTCCCACGCTTCCTCTTCGTCGTCTTCCAGTTCCCAGGTTCCATCTTGCAAATACTCCTTCCCGTAAGTAAGTGCAGTCCTGGCCTGGGTGGATGCGCAGTACATTGACGATGGCGGAGATGGAGCAGGTTAGGGAGCCCTATAGGGGTCCCGAGAGCAGATTGTGGCCAAATTCGGGACGATGCCGGACGCCAGTCAGTATGAAGTAGCGAATTGCGGACCGCCACGTAGATTGGGGTCGCGGGGTCATAATCCATGGGCACTACTCGTACGTTGCTCCAAAAAAGGGCACTGCACTGTTCCACAGTTGCTGTTAGCGGTCGCCAAAGGCATTTGGTAGGCCGGTAATTGGGTCACGTGTCAACAAAGTGTCAACAACGTGTCAACAACGTGTCGACTACGTGTCTTTAGCGGTACACTAATTTTGGTGTCCCCAAACTGAAAACATCGAGCACCAGTATGGAAAGGCTTTAGACAGAAAGCCTTTCCAATTATTAGTTCCTCGCGCATGCACATCCAAACACGGACTGCATGTGCACTGCAACACAATGTCTGCTGGGCACGTGCACAGCACGCGGCTACCACCCGTTGGTAGATCTAATAGTATTAGAAATACCGAGCACCTTACGTAGAGACTTACGTAGCCTAAGTGAAATACCGAGCACCTTACGTAGAAACTTACGTAGCATAGCGGTGTCGTTTTTCTTGCCATGTGAACACAATAATAGAAAAGCTGACAGGATCGCTTTTCTAAATACTCTCACACCGGGTAGGACTAAAGGGACAAGCCCAACTATTTTTGCAGTTTTCTGTCATAAAAAAATAAACGTCACAGGCTGCTCTTCGCAGGTGTCCGCGTCGGAGCGGTCCGGGCGAGCGACCGCATCTCAGTGGGACACTTGTCCGTGGCCGTTGTACTGGAAATCTGTGGCAGAACCTTGCCATGCCAGAGGCTACACACACCCGGGTACCTATACCGGGATAGACAAATCCTTGGTGTTGCTTCTTTCATTTTTATTTGTTCTTGCTGAGAAAGAAACGTTGCTGCTTGGAAAGCTTTCTGTTCACTCCAGCGACTTTCCTCTAGTAACGTTGCTCACTGATAATGATCATAGCTCGTGATACCAATGGTGAAGAGAAGCTGGGTTTCTTGCCATTTGCAACTTCCTGGCTCTGAAAATATAGCTTGAACAAATAAGAGCTCCAAGTATTTTAGTTTTAGATTTCGATGTGCCAGACCTATCGTTACGAGATGCAGAGATGAGGAGCAAGGGAGGCGTTGGACTAATGCCAATAATGGTTTTATGGCCCAGACAACGCCAGCGATTTTCACTTGTCAAGAGGACAGTCAAGTTGGAGCAGGCAGATGACAGATTATTTGAGCATTTATAGCGGAGTGGGTGGTTTGCTAAAGAGAATCGTCTCAGTACCTCATGGTTACTAGTATCTGACAAATGCCTCTTATTGCTAGTCTGCATTATTGAGCATAGCAGAATTGATCATGTCACAAGTAGTGTCAAGACTTGATGTCCTACGATTATACTCAGATCATGTTGTAACTTCACGGGAATATCCGTCCTGCCACTTTACGCTCTCCCAAAATTGCCTGCAGGAGTCACGTGCCTGTGCAAGGGACAATGCGTTTGCATTGCTTACGGATGCAAGCGGATGGAGTGTAGACCAGATGAGAAAAAGTGATCCGGATATTCAACTAGCTTGGACCGCCATTATAAATTTGCCTGATGCCTGGACTATCTGAACATTGCTCCAAACCAATCCACAGAAGCAATACCCACACAGGAAGCCAAATGATAAACCCATTCATCAGCTATCGAACCTTTCATCAAAACATAATGCAGTGCATGCCTACTACTACTCAAACGAGATCAACGGATGCCACATGCCACACAGATACAACGTGGAGGCTCAGTATTTTCAAGACCCCGTGCAGTCTAGACAACTAGAACAACGAGGTTTGCACCTAATGTCCCTCGATTTGCTTGCCGTATTTAGTTCCTTGCAATTGAAGCAAGCCGTATCCGAGAACCGGTCACTGAGTTTGCAGTGTCGTCGTCGCGTGTATGTTGCCGTGGTGCTCTCTACCCTCCTGTACGGCGCCTCAACCTGGACAACGAAGGCTCCGGACCTACGACACCTCAACCTTTTCCACCATCAATGTGTCAGATCTATCGTTGGAGTGTCGCGACGGCGGCAATGGGAGACCCACGCAACGTCCTCAGCCCTTGCAAAGGCCCTTGGAGTGCCTGAGGACATTGGTCACATCATACGGGAATGACGTTTGCGCTGGCTTGGACACGTGGCACGGAGGGAAGATCACCGGTTGCCGAAGTGTGTTCTCTTCGGTGAACTGCCTGCCCCGCGCCCCGCGCGTGATCCACGCAAGAGGTGGAGGGACGTTGTTATGCATGACTTTGAGCCGGTTGAGCCACCGGTACCAACATGTGGATGGTACGATGCAGCCCAGAACCATCCGGAGTGGCGTGCCATTGCCCATCGACCACACAAGGCACCCTCTGCTGCTGGCTACGGTTGCGCCTGCGGCCGCATGTTCCGTCGAAGCGGCGACCTGAAACGCCATCAGTCATTCTGTCGTGGACTGGAGAAATAACAATGCGGTATCATTGCTACGCAATGGGCAAGGTCAAGGTGTGTTTATGGTGGTACAGGTAATGCTATGTACGCCTCTTTGGTCGCTCACACATTATCCATTGCCGGCATTGGTTACACGTTATTATCAATTTGTTATGACCTTCGCTGGTCTGCACACCCACCCACTCTACTCTCTACTCTACTCTCTGAAGTTGAGACTTTCGTTTGCCATTTCATCCGGTAGTTTGACTCTCTGAGAATATCCCTGCTACATGTACATGTATAATATAATTTATACTTTACAATTATCCTTGTACGTGTCTATCTTCTTGACACCATGACTTTCTTTGAAGGTCTTGTAGCTATGAAATGTTATTTGCTGCAGGCCATGTGTGTGGTGGTGTGTGTGTGTGTGTGTGTGTGCATCCGTGAATGTCCCACGCTTGGCCCGTGGGTAAATATACAGTCATGTATATGTTATATGCCACACCAATTTCGCTATCTGTATAATATTATGCAGCACAGTGGCAGGCATAGAGAGAGAGAGCGAGAGGGAGAGAGACGTTTTAATGTCTCTGATGTGAATTCTTCACTACTACATAATCTACATTGTACTTGTATGATCGAGCGTATGAGTGTGTGTGTGTGTGTGTGTACTTGTATGATCGAGCGTACAAGTGTGTGTGTGTGTGGGTGTGCATTTGCAGATTTGGTGCTTCTCTTGCGACGGGCGTATACATGGTGTGTGTGAGTGCATCCGTGAATGCCCCATGTGTGCGTAAATATACAGTCATGTACGTGTTCTGTGCCATTCAATTTCACTAACTGTATATGCAGCACAGTGGCAGGCATAGAGAGAGAGAGAGAGAGAGAGAGAGAGAGAGAGAGCGAGAGAGAGAGAGAGAGAGAGAGAGAGAGAGAAAGAGAGATACGTTTTAATAATGTGTCTGAGGTGAATTCTTCACTACTACATGTACTTGTATGATCGAGCGTACGGATGTGTGTGTGTGTGTGCGTGTGAATGTCCCACGCATAGCCACGTGCGCGGTGCCACACAATTTCATTATGTGTAGAACAGCGGCTGGTAGAGAGATAGAGACAGACAGACAGACACAGAAAGACAGAAACGGAGGGATGCTGCGCATAAAGAGCGACAGACAGAGACACAGACTCCGAGAGAAAGAGACAAAGCACAGACTGAGGAGAAAACAGACAGATACAGACAATCAGACACAGAAAGACCGAGACAGAAACAGAGGGACGCACATAATGAATGACAAAAGGAGAGACAGACACAAAGACTCAGGGAGCCAGAGACAGAGGGTCCTTAGGGAGAGACAGTGAGAAAAAAACTAAGAAAGGGAGAGGCAGATCGAGAAGGAAGAAGACACAGAGACTGAGAGAGAGACAGAAGAGAAGCAAACGGAGAAACAGCGACATAAGTACAGGGCCGAGAAGACAGACAAACATAGAGAGACAAGCAGAGAGAGACAAGCAGAGACAGACCAAGACAGGGAGACAGCTGGAGAGTTACACAGACAAACACAGATAGGCAGACAGAAAGGCCGTGACGAAGATTCAGAGAAACACAGAGAGAGAGAGAGAGAGGGGGGGGGGGGAGAGAGAGAAGAAGAGAAGAGAGAGAGAGACACGCGCACACGCACACACACACACACAGAAACAGAGAGAGAAAACTGAGAAAGAAAGAGACAGAGAACAGTGACCGAGTGAGGGACAAAGAGAGACACACAGAGAAAGACTGAAGAAGAGAAGCAGACAGAAAAACAGAGACAGACAGATGGAGACAGAGAAACAGAAAGGAAGACAGGCAGACAGACAGATGGACAGACAGACAGATAGGGACAGGCACACGGACAGAACGAGATAGGCAGACAGCTAGAGAATGACAAAGACAGGCATACAGAAAAACCAAGACACAGACAGAGACACATAGACACAGAGAGAGAGAGAGAGAGGCAGACAGATAGATATATTAATAGAATAGAGAGACAGACAGACAGAGAAACATGTGGAGACACACAGATACGAGAGATTTCGTTCGTTGGATTTCTAATACTGAAGTAGTATAATACAAGTAGGTAGCAGCATAATGCACACAGATCTAGAGTGCTGAGAGTTGTCGAATGCGGGGAAAGCAGAGTGTAGTAGACACTACTGTACAGGAGTGAAGCAAAGCTGATTTGTTGTAATGCTGCCTGACTGCTTGCCTGTGTGCAATAATGAGGAGAACTCATAAAACAGTGAGCCGAAAAAAAATATGATTAAAAAGCCGATTCACAAACCAGGTAAAGACAGGAAGAGAAGGAAAGATATGTGCGCATATACCGTGCACCCGTGCACGCACACACACACACAAACACAGAAGGGAGTTGATAGGTGGAGAATTGCGAAAACAGGGGACCCAGTGTGCCCTCAAGGAGATAAAGAGATAGAGATAGATAGAGAGATATTTTTGGCACAGTATATTCGGCCCTGGTTTATGGCTTTGGAATTTATTTTTCATTGCAATCAGGTTCGGCCTCATTTCTCTGTGCTGTGCTAATGAGTCCACAAAGGACGAAACAGTTCTGTCCCCAGATTGGATAGATAGATAGATATAGATGAAGATAGATAGAGAGAGAGAGAGAGAGAGAGAGAGAGAGCGAGGGAAAGAGAAAGACATAGGCAGCTGTCTTGGTCATTATCATCCGAT